GATAAGCATGGACTATTTTGTTTTTGTTTGAACGTCAACCACGATGCCTCAGCGTGTCGGTTGAGGCAAACCTGTGGTCTTAACGGGTGCACTGGAAAGCACCGCCCCCCAGAAATTAGTCCTCTCCGAAATGTCGATAAACGCGACGTTGACCGTAGCCAGTACAGTGGCGTTGGGTATACTTCCGATGAGGGTTCTAGGTAGAGGTTGAATGATAGAAACCAGTGCGATACCAGATTCGGGATATGATCCTGCTTTGATTTACGAGAACCTACTGAGACTTTTGAAGTTGAAGACAGCGGCATCCCAAATCAGCTTAACGACCGTAAAGGTACCAGCTATTTTCGAGTTCAGGGTAACAGTAATCGACCTCATCCCGTGGACAGTAACGAACCGCTCCGCTTAGAGAAAATTTGGTCTGTATAGGAAATTCCCCAGGTTTCCGACGGGTTATCAACTGTTACACCACTTGAGGAACAGAAGAAACTGAAAAAATACCGCTTCACAGAAATCCCCAACGTCCGATTGTCCTTCTTATAGATATGAATGCACCGCAGTCACATTGGGTGGTACATAATCTGTATGGACATTCCTCAGAGACGTTCGCCGTCCCCACGCCTATCGGATGGATCCTTCTCGTACCTATGGGTGAATTGGCTCCAAGGGAAACATTAAAGGTCAACAGTATTACGCGTAATTCCGATACCACTCATCAGGTCCCCGAACACAAACATGATACAGAATCTTTGACACTGATCAGCGAACACCACAGTTCGATAGAGTTTTCAGAGAAGGCTACGAAGAATGACGGATTAAATCGAAATCAGCGGATCCTCAAATGCTGGCGTAAAGTGTGCGGAAGAGTGGTTGAATGTTTCAGCATTTGAAATTTGACTACTATGAATATTTAAGTAGCCTAACTATGAATGACAACATGTATAGACTGCACCACTTGGAATAATTCTTCCGGATTGACAAAATAAAAAAGATGAATGATTAAATATCCAATGACTGCTTACTCTTGTTCTGTTTCTCTATGTTAAAAACAGAACATTTTTATTTTGGTTTGATGTATCACAATGTTGCACGTTATAGTGTACCGCCAAGTTCTTATTAGATGGCAATGCTGGGCACAGTGGGAATGTGTGTGATGATATGAGTAATTTGTTAGAGCACCGCCTAAGCTCATCCATCAAACGAACATTCAACACAGCCGAACCAGTTTTCGTCTACAGAATACCGACTCCTCCAGTCAAGCAATCGCTTCCGGAGTATACCAAATCCCATCAATTGTACCAATTCGTCTGTGGGTGCTCGGTCACCTACCTAGGCAGAACCGAGCGACAGCTTGGACAAAGAGTAGCCGAACACACCTCTCTGTGTGGATCAACAAACTGGTAAATCAATCGCACCCGAATGATCAAGGTCAAAAGTCAACCCAACGCGCACACCAGCGTCATCGATCGGTCGTCACTTGCTAGAGACTGGGCATCAAGTGAACGTGACCGCAGCATTTAAAAGTGTCCTCATCAGGCAAAACTCGCGCTTGTTTCAGTTTGCCGAGGCGATTGCTATTAAACGATGGAAGCCTGAACTGTGCAAGCAGAAGGAGTTATTTGTAACTCTACCTTGGCAGAAAGATGGACGCAGATGACTTTAATATGGCCGAAATGCCTTACTCCACCACTCTAGGTGTGAGATGAACGTCACCTCAAGTGCGAGAAGCCTCACCCAGAAAAGCACCATAGAGCTACACTTATTTCGTGCACTACTGAAAACTTTGTTGACATCGCCGTTTCTGTTTCCATATTTAATCGACCGGAACTAGCTACATAAAACATTTAACCCACCTTGTTAAGGAAAACAACTTATCTGGACTTAATCTTATTCCCCAAAAGTACCCTGAACGTATTTTCACTTTGATTCATTCCAGTCTCACTCCGACAACGTACAGATTCAGCGAAAGCCAATGACCATGGTCACGTATGTGAAGTAATGTGACGACCGACAATTTTTTTCGCTCTAAGTTCACTAAATGCAACACAAAGCGGGACTTCGCGTTTTTAGGTATCAAGGACAAATTGTTCATCTATATGAAATAAATAATGAACACAACTCAGGAAACAGAGTAAACAGTTTTATTTGGTGACAATCAATCGTTTAGGATTCTCCGTGACGGTCAGATAGTCATCGTCATCGCAATGCTTCTTCTTCCATTTCTTCTCATCCCATGATGCAGCTGCCACCGACGACGGTTCTCCTGTCACCGTCAGATAGTCATCGTCATCGTAATGCTTCCTCATTTTACATTTCGTCTTATCCCAAGAAGCGACTCGTAGTATGTCCGGCGCGTCTGTTGCCGCAAACATGAAAGTGAAAGACAATGCAAACTTGAATGAGATCCATACAAATGCGAGGAGGAGTAATCAGTTCGAATCTCTAAGAATGCAT